CCAATTTCCATCGAAAATATCACAACTTTCTGCACCTTTTCCCAAAAAATCAACCTTTTCACTCTTGTTATAGGACAAAGATGATCCATTTATCCCAATCCAAGTAGCAAACAAGGATGGCTGATGCAACCGAGGCACTTTGTTTACTGTTCTATAATCCAACAAGAAGAGACACAAGAATAAGCAAACAGTGAAAAAGAAGCAGCCAAGAACACCTGGAGAAGGCTCAAAAGGCTTAAACCCCTTGAGTTTCTTGAAAATCTTCAAGTTGAAGAATCTGGGAGATGGGTTTTCACTCATCTCTGCTTTAGACTAAAGAAGTACTAGTGGGTGTAGTGAAAAATCCAGTCTTGGGATGGAGAAAACAAGACTATCAAAAGCAAGTCTTGGAAAACCATAAAAATTGAATTTTTTTTGGAGGGTTATTGTTTTGAGAAGATGTGAACACACACAAATCTTTTAAGTTGAATACAGCTAGGTGGGGCTTTCATCATTATAGAGAGAGAGAGAGAGAGAGAGTAAAAGAGTTGAGGAAGATGTTGATGATGATGAGGTGGGGTCTTGTATGGACAAAATTAAAGACAAACAAGAAGTAGTCTAAAATGGCAAATGGGGACCAGGAGAAAATGCATTTTACACTTACTTATTGCTTCAGTAATAATTAGCGAGTTTTTAATCTTCTCTTCTTCTGCTGTAAGAAAAACAAGTGAGGTTTGCTACTCGTATGTTTTGAGATTTGTGGCGGAGATGTCGGAAAAAGGTACAAGGCCGGTGGAATCGCCGTGAGGCTTAAGAGAGAATATATGGGAACGTGGGCTCAACGTGGGATGTCAACAATTTTCTCTCTAAATTCACAAATTTCTCGCCTTTATATGCAAATATTATTTTCATTACATTAATACCAGCAGTTAAATGTTGTATTGTTAATTAAATAATTGGTACTGGAGGTTAGAAATGAGTATTGATTAATACACCTAAAAAAACGAAGACGTGTGTCACCCTACTTAAATTCACCCCCACAATGCCGTAGATACTGATACCGAATTACTCTCTCCCCTCCGTTCAACCATATTTGTTTACTATATTAAAAATAATTGTCTAACAAGAATTGTTCAATTTAAAATATAAGACGTAATTTACTTTTTGTATCTATTTTATCATTGCTATTAAATACTAATATTTTTTATCTAACACGTTTTTCAAAACATTAAATTTAATAAAATCAAAGGATAATATAATAATATTACCCTTATTATTTGTTTTTAAGGAATGTACCTAGTCAATTGTAGATAACTATGATTGGACAGAGGGAGTATCAAATATCGACACAAAAAGATTTAATATTTGGTGAAAATTGTGCTAGAATGTCTAATGCACGATTCAGATTTAGTCGAGATGTTTCATGTGGTGAGACATCAAAAAATTAAAATAAAATAAATATACACACCAAAAAATTTAATATTGTGATTTTGATATTACGATTTTGAGGTATTCAATATTTAAACACAAAAATAATATAATTTAATTGTTTGTACTTTCATATAAATCTTTTTATACTATAATGTATTAGTATAATATAATTAATAGTTTTTAAAAAAATTATAGTCATACTTTTTTTAATTATATTATGAGTATATATAAATCAAAGTTAAATAAACTATATTATGATTTACCTCATTATAAAATATCAAAAATCAAATTCGAACTTATAATATTGAATCATATGAATTATTTTGATATAATAATTTTAAAAATCAAAGTTAACAAACCACAATTTTTAATACTATAACATGTCCACCGCTAAATGGAATATCAGTAGTTAAAGTTATTGTCTTTAAGGGTCGTTTGGTAGGAGGTATTAGGAGAAATAATTCATATATTATGTTGTCCACTTTAGAAATGACACACATATTAAGACAACAATGATTAGCATAGTGAAGTTACAATTTTGCCCTTATTAATTATGATTTCAAAATAAATTTATTCAAGATAACTAATCAATGTTGGGGGAAGTTTAAATTTTCAAGAAGTTTAAATGAGGGTATAATAGGAATTTTTTTTCTATCCTTTCTTGATTTGTCAAAATGGACAAGTAAATAGGGACATCTAAAAGAGGAAATATGGACAAGTAAATAGGGACGGAGGGAGTAATATGTTTGGTAGACTTTTTGGGCCTAAGTATAATTAATCCATGAATTAGTTATACACCCTACACGGTATTATAGGAGGTATTACTAATACCTTCCATGTGGTGGTATTAGTAATACATTGGATTTAATACCATGAGATTATCTATGTAAAGACAAAAATATCCCTCAAATCATTTTATTTATTTTCTTGATTTTATGTTTTATATTTGTACTAGTAAATTTATTTAAATAAATTAGCTTACAATTTTTATTATTTAGAGAGAGTTGTTTGTTAAGAAATAAATACAATATTTAAAATGTGAGTTGTTTAACATTTACTAATTGAAAAGGCAAATATATCACCATATGACGTTTGTGATCTTAATTGAATATTTTATTTGTTGGTTTATTTGTGGTTTCTAATTGTTTGTATTTTGAACATTTTATAAATTGCATACATATTAAAACTACACCTTGCAGTTTTTATATGTAAATATAGATGATTTATTCGATTTTACTATTTTTATCGTCTTTTAGATTTTAAAGTAGATGGTCTATCTATTTTAAATTGAAAATTAACATTTTTAAGTGATTAATTTATTAAGATAACAATTGTTTACCCTAAAAAATTCAAGTGAGAAATTAACAAACATGACAACAAATTTGTTCTTCTCCTAGCTAGTTAGAAGACCATAAAAATATAATATTGTCCGGCAATTATCTACCTTGACCGATTATGTAAAATAGAAAATCTCATAATTATGCAAAGGTATAATTGGAAAGAAGTTTTTTGTAGAATTTAAATCCAAACATAGGATGAGGCTAGAAGCAATGAACCAAACACTTAATAAAAAATACACCTTTGCACTACTAATTCCTGCACTATTAATCTCTGTATTACTAATCTTTGCGTTACTACTCCCTGCATTATTTATTTTTTTACCAAACGACCCCTTAATGTTTTGTACTTTGTTAAAAAGAGAGCTAGGCATTGCACCTAATACTAGCCCCATTTTGTAGATTTGATCCACATACAGAATTTCAATCTATCTAAATTGTTTTTTTTTCAACCAACTGTTCATTCACTTCGAAAAAAGTATTTTCTTAACCTCGAAATTGTTAAAATGATTGAAATCTCTTACCTTAAAGGGGTTGAACATACGTAGCACTTTACTTACAAATACTGTGTTAGTATCACTTTTTTTTTACAAATCAAATCACTCTTTAATCATTCAAACTAGAGATTTGTGGTTGAGGGTTGGAGAAGTGACAACAAACTAACAAAGGGTGATGTTAAGCAAGATTAATTAGTCTTGTGATGTGATTTATGAAGCCCACAAATCATAGTGAGATTATGAGAAATATGGTGTGAAAACATTTAAGTCATATTCATATCATAATAATTAGCTAGTCAAATCGAATATAATAACACAATCCCTTCAACCCTATCTCTGGCTGTATTGTCATTCTCATTTGCTGCTATATGCAGTGTATCCACTGTAGACAAATTTTTATATGATAAATCAACAACAACACGTTAAATGTCAAAATCTCATTTTGAGTATTCATGTACTATAAAATACAAATAGAAATTGACCATATATATAAACAAATCATAGAAACAATGGTGCAGTTACTTGTCCTCTATGAAATTGCCTCTTGAATTGAATTATTAAACTTCTACCAATTTTATTTTTTTTCTTTCACTTTAACCAACAAAATAATAAAATAAAATACAGGGTCATAATTTGATGGCTAGAAACCGAAGAAAAACAGAAATTAACATTCATAGATTATTTATTACCAAGTAAAATTCAAGCATATATATTTGGATTTTGGGGTTTAGAACCCAAATAAATATCAAACCGAACTCTTAAATTAGTTGTTTTTTTGGGGAGGATCAACATCCACATGAGACTTGCCAGCTTCTGAACTTTGATCGGTTGTGTCATCGTCGGGGTCATGAGATGGGTCAGACTTATCCATGGAGGCTCGGGCCTTATCAAGCCACGGTTTGAAAGCAAGCTCAATCGCCAGCCACCCAAATGCTAGGGCTCCGAATACCACTGCGGTTGATTTCAACGAGTTGTTATTCTTCGCCATTGAGATCACAAGCAGCTACGTGCCGATGAGGGTTTAGTTTGCTACTCTACTTATATTGTGACCAGAAGAGGAATTAAGATATAGAACCAACCTCCCATTGGGCCCTCCAATTACGGAAAAGTTTCATAAATAGCCATATCAACCTCTCATATCTCATTTAATCACGCTTTTGTTACGAAACACAATTTTGGACAAAAACTAAAACATGGAATAATTTCACAACTTTGATAAGTTCAAGTGTGGAACCCAAAGAATAATGGCTTCACCGAAATTTTGCTAGAGTTTCATGCCCCATAAACAATTTATGAAATTTATACTCTCTTTTTCTTTTTTTATGACAAACAATTTATGAAATTTATACTTTATAAGTTTAAACCCAAAAACGATTCCTTTGATTCAAAAATTTGATGGGAGTTTCGTTCAATCCTCATATCACTGATCATCAAACTTAATATTTATTTCAATTCCCAATAGTATGCCACTCTATTCTGAGTAGATGCAAAAGTGACCAATATAGTTGAGTAACTTGACAAAGCAGAACAAAATTGAATGCCATACGAAAGTAATGTTAGCAGACAATATGATGCAGCGAGATAACATGCTCCTGACTTCAAAGATCCAAAATAAATTGTTGCATGAGATCTATCTTTTTTTCTACTAGAAAAACCAAGAGCAAATCTCTCAATCCGTACACATGTTTACATCAAAAAATTAGAGCAGCTGGAATGCATTTAGTGGCCCCGACCACGTCCACGCCCACGACCGCGCCTACGATCCCATAGGCTTTCCTGAAGAGGAACAATCAAAGGAAGAGGTTATTAGAAGGATGTCCAAGCAATAAGGAAATTTAACCATACACCCACAAGGCACAAAAACATCTGAACGTAGGTAGTCCTTAACAATATGACAATACCAGCTGTTGGCTTCACCCTAGGTGTTTCTTCCACCAGCAGCGTCTCAAGATTTAAGCTGTCAGGGAGGGTGTAATAACGGATGTTGTTACCCCTCACACTTAGGTGATCCAACGTCACTGGATTCTTCCCTTTTAGCGTAATTTTGACAGCCTTCAGATGTGTGTTCATGCTAACATCCACCTGTAAAAATGTAACTGCCTTTAGAAACTTAACTCACAGCTCTCAATTTAGCAACTTCAATAAGGAGACGGATTTAATAGCCACTGTGCCTAGTTAATTTCAAAACACACTGATATGCTTGAATACATATTTCTATATCCCGAATATATCTAGCAGTTTTCTGTAAGTATAAGCAACCCCTCAAGGAATAAAAGTCTAAAGCATGGAAAGGACAACCAACAGAGAAAGGTAAATGCTATAGGTCTCAAAATATGAGAACAGGACAAATATTTACTTTTGACTACTATAGTTATCTAGAACAGAGATATACTCTTCAATACATAGATGGCTATTTTCCATGCAAATTTGACATTTTCAATGCAACCAGCACAAGCCCTGGCACTCGCCATAAAAAGCCTATCTAAGTTTGCAAAGGCATCTCTACTGCCGGACAAAGAAGCTACAGTATGATGATTTTTTCAGAGGATGAAGTAATTATTCTTTTTAAAAATGTTTAGGTACAAAGCACACCCGTATATGTATACCAAAAAGCAGAAAGCCTACCTAAAGATATGATGTTCTATCATTCTATGAATGACACCCTATCTTCAACGCATAGAGGTAAATCATAAGAGCACCAAAAAGAAATAAGGGATAAATGGCTACTCCTCAATTGTAAAAAATCTACAGTACAATGTATTACATAGAGCATTCGCAACAAGATTACAACAACAGATAACAATTATAAATGCAACACTAGGTGTTGTTGTCATAAAACTTGGGTACAACAAAATAACTTATAAGTTGATTGCAAGCGTGCTTAAGCTCAAGCATTCATGCATAGTGAATAACAGTAGTTCGACACAACTTTAGCTCCTCGTCTAGCTGAATTTAAGACTAGTTAACATTGCAGAGAAAAAGTGACTGTCGGAGTACACAACATCATATATGCCACTTACTTCTCACTCTTTGCGCTAGTTCTACATGCTCAAATATCAAATGCAACCAGCCTATAGTACTCCACTTGATGTGTCTACTCTTTCTGACCTAAGTACCTGGAACTTTAACCTCAAGCTGGGAAATAAGAACTTACTCACGCCTCACATAGACAATGACAATCCACAAACAAGTGGAGGCATCATGGTTTTTGCTTATATAATCAAAACAAGTGTTATAAGTTACGGGTATAGCAACAACTAGGTAATCAATAACATTTAATATTGAACATAGGTTTTGTCAATTAGTGTTACATTTGCTGAGATGAGCAACTAATGCACATCTTTGGAAACAAAAGGATGAAGACAACAGGGTTTTGCATAGAAAATAAAAGAGCTCTTGGACCAAATGATTCCAGCATAGAATATTTCACTTGTAGGGACCTGAGATGTGAGAACAATGGTGGCATAATGATCTGGAACCATGTGCAAGATGACTTAAATTTTTGAAGAGCACTACGTTATCGACCTATTCTATCGACAAAATGATAGTGAAGGTCTTACAACAACAACAAAAGAAACAACACCACAGTTTCAAACAAGTTCGGTCCGGCTAAATGAATCCTTATTGACCATGTTACTCTGTTTAAACTTATCTCAAGCTAATATTACACAACATTGAAATAATAATAGCAGTATAAAAAGTACCAAAAATTCTTTATACTTTCTACTGATGTATCAAAATTAATGGTGACAGTTATCCGTGAAAATTTAGAAGTATTAGAAAATACTACTATCTCAATAGGAAGTCAAGAGAGATTCTACTGATCCACCTCCTTTGAGTGAATCATTGGTCACTGATTTACTTCCCCCTGATGTGGAGTATTTGTTATTCAGTGATTTTCCTCCCTTAAGTGGATAGAAGCAATGTAGTTCAGGTTGTTTGGTATGGTTGGAACAGAAGTAAGACAAATACATTTCCTTTTTCCATCAAAATTCAGATACACTGAAAAATCCACATAGAAGAATGCACAACCCATCTACTTTTGCTTTCTATCCCTTTTTTACTCACAAGGAAATTAACTTTTAACCTCTTACTTTCATTCCTCTTAAGCTTCTTTTTTCCACCCCAACCAAACATAGTTTTAAGTTTTAAAGCAAAGAATATATGAATGGGGTTAACTTATGAAAAATATTAAGAAAATGACAAAAAGATGATAAGAATCCCATGTTCACTCACATAATTTCTTAGTTTTTTGTTTTGTTTTTTAATATAGAGATTTGTATTTTTAGTATACGAACTGTGAATTAATGAAATGATCCGAATAAAGCAGAAGAAATATAGGACACTCATATAGACAAACCAACTAGTTTGGGATGGAGACATCATAGCTGTATTTAAATGCATACAAAGTCATTGAAGGAATTGTTGAATTATTATAGTGACACTTCAAATTTCTTCGAGTTGTGTAATAATCCAACTTTTAGAGCCACAAAAAAGAGAACGAGAGATGTTATTTTTATTGAAGCAGAGTACAATTAACAGAGAGGAATTACAGTTCTCTAGTGTCTAGACATAAATTACAGTGATGATAGGCAGAAATAGCTCTGTACTTGAGAATGAATTCCTATTGATATTTGAAAGGAACTTCATAGTTGGAGAAGGACTGAAGTAGAGATAATACGTGCGATTCAGAGAGGATAAGAAGATAACAAATTCAGAAGGGCAGTGAGAGGAGTAGACAGATTGAGACGGGTTACCTCATATACTTTCTATAGCTTCTCAGCCCTAGCTTCCATGCATTTATGGACATACATAGTGACTCATAGTGGAAGTGAAGTGAACTATTGCAGTTACCATTCATCTGCTATGAACTAACTTAACTTGCGGCATAAACCAAAGTCAGTTTAGCAACTTGCTTTCATTGTTGTTGTTGCTCCGTTTTTCCACCCCACCCCCAGGAGCCTAGAAGGATCAATAGTGTTCCCCCCTATCCTTTGACCCAAACCCTCAACCTACTAGTTGATTGTGGAAGTGCTCAACCACTTGAGCAAAACCTCACTTGTCTGTCATGAGCACTTATTTTTGTATATCCTTTTTAAAATTGTTTGGAAATGCTTTATTTAAGCATGAGAATCTATTGGAAACAACCTCTTTAACTCTACGAGGTAGGGGTAAGAATTGCAAACACTCTGCCTCCCAAGACCTCACCACTTGTGGAATTACATTGGGTATTATGTTGTTGTTGTAGTTCAGCAACTTCCATATACCACCCAACAACTAGACTTAGAGACACTGCCAAATAACTTGACAACCCAGGAAATCAAATTCATACAAGCACATTCTTTAATTCACATATTGGCGTGAGCAATTCAACAATTACATACGTGCAGATTGTTCATTTTAGATTTGACAGGGAAATACCTAAATATAGTTAAGAAAGAAATAGACAGAAAGATAGGGAGGGTGACCTGTAATGGTTCCATGAACAACGGTGCCGTTTTTGAGCTCAATTGAGACAGTCCCATTGTTCAGCTTCCATGCATTTATAGAGATACATAGTGACTCACGGTGGAAGTGAAAGAGAATGAAGTAAACTATTGCAGTGACCATTCATCTGCTATGAACCGATTAACTTGTCCTATTTAGCAACTTGCATATCCCACCTAGCAACTACACTTTCAGTAAGCGACACTTCCAAATAACTTCTCTTCCGAATAAAGTCAAATTCATACAGAACATTCTTTAATTTACATATTGGCGTGAGCAATTCAGCTATTACATAAGTGCAGATTGTTCATTTCAGACTTTACAAAGGTCATACCTAATACGTAAATATAGCAATACAGAATATATACTGAGAACAAAAAAAAAAACGAAGAAATTGATAGAAAGGTAGAGAGAGTGATCTGTAATGGTTCCATGAACAACGGTTCCGTTTTTGAGCTCAATTGAGACAGTCTCGTTGTTCAGCTTCATCAAAAATCTGAACAGACAGTTACAGTTAAAGTTAAAGTTAAATCCATGGCTAAGCTCACTAGAAATAACTCACAGAGAATAAAAATTGAAGATGTCGCATGAACCTGACGAGCTTCATTGTGCTGAAGAAATTGAAAACACAGTAGAATAGGGTTTAGGCCTTTAGGGCAAGGAGCGCCAGGGGTATTCAAAAACACAAGCACGCTCCCATTACAATGGCGTCGTATCGTATTTCATGAGCCCATAGCACATGGACCCGCCTAATCGTGGGTAGAAAACAAGAAAGCCCATTGGACAAACGCGTGGGCTGTTTCATGTTTTAATGGTAGGAATTGCACCTGTTAGCCAGTTTTCACCGTGTCCTTGCTATTTAAGTTGTAGCCAATTTGGAAAATTTTAGTTAAAAGTAAGTCACCGAGCACCAATCAAGGATGTGTGCCATATTTGAGTTTACAACTTTAATTTAATCCAATTGGATCTAAAATTTGAAGCTAATGGTAAGATAAGTACACAATGTGTGATGTGCATATTCTACTTTAATTTGTCGCAAATAAATTATGTCACATATATTGAAACAGAGAAAGAAAATAAATTCAATTACGTAAAGATAAAAATAAAAGAACAGACCTTCAAAATAAATGATCATCGATCAATCATCAGGATGATCTAAGATGCAAAAGTTGGATCCAATTTTCACTATATTAGTAGTGTATCTTTTTGATAAATTGAAACAGAAAAAGAAAATAAATTCAATTACGTAAAGATGAAAAAAGAAAAAAAAGAATAGACCCTCAAAATAATTGACCATTGATCAATCATCAGGATGATATTATAAAAATTTGTCCTCTTTTTTCGCTTGGGTAACCGCACTGGCTTCATCAAAACATCGCTGGGTGTCATTAAAACACTATATTTTTCTATTTTATTTTGAGATTCGACCCTTTTTGTTGAAGTGGATTTTTCGATTACATCCATAAAATATAACACATGACATTAGTACTAAATAAAACATATACGACATTTGTTGAAATATTTTTTCTTTATTCAAAATTATAACTCGTCATGGAAGATCATTTTCTCTATACGCTCGAAAAAATAATTCCTTTAGTGCAATGAACTAATTATTTTTGTGTTGTCCCTTCATACTTCAAAAGGCTAATTCGAAACAAGTTACAAAGTATAGTCGATCTAATGAATCTTTCAATTGTACCTCTTGATAGTGTAGATACCTTTATCGATAGGTTTAGTCCAAAATCCATATATAAAATGATCAAATTGTTATCCACCATAATCAAATTGGGGTGGGTGGGGGTGATCAAGTCTGTTTTCTATGTACGTATATCCAGAATCATTCTTTCCTTTATCTAGACACTAATAATCCTTTGTTTAATTAGCTTGTGAATCCTAAGATCGTGTTTGATTTCATGAATAGGAGAAAGGCATTATATTACTACGTAGAATATTAGATCAGCTTGTGTTTGTATTAATTACCATCAACAAATAAAACGTATGATAAACAGTTGAGATTCTTTTATTTTTAATTATTTTTTTGCATTCGAGTTAGATAATATTTAGTATGATCGCATGTATGCACCGTTGGTTCAATTTTCTATATCTTTAATCAGATTTAATAAAATGATGATGTTTTTATATTTTTAAATCAAGTAACAAAGCGGAGTAGAAAATCACAAGAATTTTAGTCTCCAAAATGAAAATAGAAAATCATGAAGATTTTGGTGTCACACAAGCAGAAAGTAAGATGAATATAAAAATTATTAACATAAAATAAAACTTAATCTCGTACTTAAAGTTTAATATTATTTCCTTTCAAGATAGAATGGATGATCTCTAACGAAATAGTAGTATCTCAGGCAAAAGCTAAAGCAAATTATTTTTAAAAACAATGCGAAAAAGAGAGAGAAGAAGAGAAACTTGAAATTTGGGCGAACTCGGTGTTTTTTCAAAAAAAAAAAAAAATGGTAGTGCCTATACACAAAAGTCATGTGTCTGTTCGGAAAAATAAAACCTTTATTTTTCGTTAATATAAAAAATCAAACATTATTTCAGTTCATAATAAATTCAACCAACACAAATTTAAATTAATTTAAATATAGATATTCGAAATACTAGATGTGATTAAAAATAGATCGATTTGTAATGCATCTATATAATTACCACAAGAAATTAGGAAAAATGATTTTTCAGGCCACTCACTATTATTATATTCATTCATTAAGTATAAATGTAAAAGGCTATGGAGTGAAATCCTATTTTAAGTAATCAACCTCCCACTTGGATAAATATATCAGATGTGAAAATATTGCTTTTAATTAGCTAAGATTTGAATATTTTTTTTAAATCAGAATAAATTTTGAATATTAAAAGGTCACCGTCCGCATCTGTCTTTTTGTGTGTTTCCCGTGGTCATGGATAAGTTAATTCGGTCAACTTTATTAAGGTTGAAAAAAAAACAATTAAAAGGATTATTCGACTTCCATTAGCACTAATTATTTATGATCATATCTCATTTTGTTCCTAAGGTATTTATTCTTATTGGACAATTCCCCATTTAGTATTTTGACCACCGCAAAAATACAGTTGTTTAGAGGCGTGTTTCCGTCCCATATTAGTTCTCCATTATTAACTTTACATACTTCTTAGGAACCTATAAATATAAGGTTAATTTTATTATATTACCCTTTTAATATAATAAATACAATGTCTTGAAAAAATGTAATAAGGAAATGACTATAATTAATGATAAAGGGTAAATTAGGAACTAAATGTAAAATTATCCATTGATTTCATAAAGTGCACAATTATTGTTGGACATTCCAAAATAATACTATAAAGTGGACAATTATTGTTGGACATCCCAAATAATATAGTGCGGAAAACATTATTGAACATCCCAAATAATATAGCGCGGAAAACTATTATTGGACGGACGGAATAACTTTTACGCGCTCATAATCAGTATTGATTGGTAACTTGAGAAAAGAATAGTAAATACTTACCCTTTATAACATGTTAAATTTACTACTACTCTTTCGATTCACTTTTACTTGTCATTTTTAACTATAAAAAATATTATTTTACTCTCAATATTAATTTATTTATTCGACAAAACATTTCTCAAAACCTAAGATTATTTATTGAAGATCCATTGAATATTTAATCATATGAATAAACTTCAGAAATTATAACTGTAAAATCAGAAATTTATACTAAATTCATAAATTTAAAATCTAGAATCGGTGTTTTGTTTTTTATTTGAATTAGTGCATACATCTTATACTTCAATGCAATACTATAAGAATAAAAGTATTGGAACCAAATTTGATGGAAATGGTCTATGACACTCCACCATATATAAATACTCAACATATTGGCTGCAGAAAACAAGCTAAGTAGATCCATCATCCATGCATGGTATATCTAGTTGAAATATATCTACAAACATCTAAAGTAAAAGAGTAACTTTCTTACAATTTACGTTGTACTCTATACAATGCAAATATCAACAAGAATGTGCAACCAAACGTGTCCATTGATACACATTGGGCAACCACCGCAAATGGATCATAAGGTTGTGGTGGTGATGGGAGCCACCGGCGCCGGAAAATCAAGACTCTCAATTGACCTAGCCACTCATTTCAAGGGAGAAATAATCAACTCTGACAAAATACAAGTATACAAAAGACTTGACATTGCTACAAACAAAACTACTGAAAACGAACGTTGTTCGATACCTCACCATCTTATGGTTGATCCTTATAAGGAGTTCACAGCCAAGAGCTTCTGTAACATGGCTTCATTTGCTATCAACTCCAATTCGCTCATCGAGGCACTCGTTTATGATAAAACCTACAAGCTATGTACAAGGTACTGTTGAATTGTGTGATATTAATTCCCATTCAAAATATTTAGAGTGCATATGACATTTATACTACGAATGCACTTTTGAGGCCACACTTTAAATTATATCCCGGCCCCCATTAGTCTAGTGGGCTTAATTTGTCTGGAAAAAAATAATAATCTACCAACGATATAGTTTTCATTTAAACGCAAAATCTAGTATTATTCTCCTTCCTTGCCCTTAAAATATGTTTTTAAAAGGGACAAATTTAAAGGTATTCACACAAATATCCAGGGGAATTCATTTGCTTTAATTTAATCTTCAAATTTTCGGGAGTGACCTAAAAAAGGCCATATGGGGCCAATATTCTCTTTTATTAGTATCACAAAACATTTAATTGTTCTTTTAACACAACCCGTTGCACGAAGTTTGATATATAACCCAAACACGTACGGAATCATATTATAACAATGTCACTAGATGGTTAAATTCTTCGAACAAGATATTTATTTAATCATATTTTCAACAGATACGACTTTTGTTTCCTCTGGGTCGATGTGCCCATGCACATATATACTAAATTCTTTGTTGTCCGAACGAGTGGACAAAATGGTGGATAAAGGAATGGTGAACGAGGTACGGACTATGTTCAATCCTACAAATTCCGATTACTCCAAAGGTATTAGAAAAGCCATTGGTGTTCCAGAATTTGATCGTTATTTTCGAGCAGAATTATCAAAGTCCGCCGACGAGGAGACACGTGTTGAGCTACTTGAAGAAGCCATTAACGAAGTTAAGATCAACAACTGTAAATTAGCAAGCCAACAGTTGGAGAAAATAAATCGTTTGATAAATGTCAAGGGATGGAATGTACATCGACTGGATGCAACACAAGTTATGTTGAAAAAACGAGGAAAACAGGAGGGAGAGGAAATATGGAAGAATATGGTAATGGAACAAAGCAAGAAAATTGTGACTAAATTCTTGTGTCAAAATTATAATAATAATAATAATAATAAGAGCTCAATGGGTTATTGTAGTACTTACTGATGGGAGAGAGAATTGTTGTCTGTGGCACCAGCATCCTATAAGCTTTGATTTAACAAAAAGAAAAATTGAGTAAGTAATAACCAATAAGTCAAAGCAGAGGTGCTCAATTGAAATAAGACTTATTTGATTGTTCAAATGAAATATCACATGGCCATGTATTAAGCTATATTGACATGTGAACATAACTTAAGACCCTTAAACCATATTATTATACTAGTCAAATCACAAATGTGATTGAATTTTACGAGCAAATTAAAGAGAAATTCAATTTTAAGCATTTTCTTTTTTAACAAGGTTTGTTTACTAATTAACTACGCCGAAGCTATCGTCAGATAATTAAAGAAGCGTTGTTAACATAAAAAGAAAGAGTCGTCCTCACCCCCTTTTGTCTTCTTTAATTACTCAGATAAAAATAATAATATACCTAACTATGAAAACGTAACATATAAAGATTATGCATGCAACTTTTGTTTTCATTACGAGTATATAAGACTAACATTAGACGATTAATGCTGAATATGTATATCATCGCTATTAGTAAATAACATTATAATATCAAGCAAAAATGAAGATGATCCAAGGAAAAGTTTCAACTTTGTTACTCCTAATTATAATTTACGTTGGAGGATCAAATAGCCAATTTGCAACTTGGCCCGGCCCTGCTGTCCCTCGTCCACTTTGTCTCTCTCAATTTTCACTTGTGAACAATGCATGTCAATTTTTGCCACTTACTCCTTTGCCTCCACCAGGACCTGCACCCGCACCTCGCCCATTACCCACGTTCTCTCCAGCACCTGGTCCTGCACCCGCACCTGGCCTAGTACCCACGTTCTCTCCAGCACCTGCACCTCCTACGAGTCTTGGGTATACACAAACTCCAGCAGAAGAGGAATGCTGTAGGTGGATGAAAGCTGTCGATAGCAAATGTGTCTGCTCTCTATTGGCTCATTTGCCTACTTTCCTTGCCAGGCCAATCCATCAGTATACTACTTTGGCTCATGCAACTTGCAGTGTAACTTTCACCTGTGGTTCCTCCGCAAGGTACCAAGAGAATGATCATCAGAAGCCACCACACTCTCCATAAGTACCGATTATCTTTAATTAAAACGCACGCTATATATAGTACATGTGGCATGGAGTTTGACGGACTCCTATATATTAATTACCTACTTTATTTACAATAAGTAAAGATTTTTAGGAGGGGATATGGGCCTTTACCTCCTAAAAATTTAAATGTACGTAGTATGTATGACTCATTGTATTACGTTTGGTGGTTATATAAGTATTGTATGTCATCATTTGAATATTTTAAGTTATTCTGTTACTTCAAGCAACAATCTTAATCAATATTAGCTGCAAAATGTGCCCAAGAATAAACAACACCATGAAACATACACCATATATTATTGTATGTAAATTACATTGAGGAGATAGGGATAGGGAGCTAGGTAGGAGACGCGCAAAAACTGAAACTTTGTTCCCCAGATAACAAGCAGAATATGCAAGAAATCTCCATCCATCCTCTTTTTATTTATGTAACTGAACTCATCAACTGATATAGCCTCTCACACCTTCCCTAGTGCTTTTTGGATATCAGCCTGCAAGTTAATCCAGGGAAAATCACCTCTGTACGTACATGAATCTCATAAAGGGCACTGAATTTGCTACTTGATTTGGAGTCATTAACAAAAATTATATTTCAGAAAATCTATAAGTTTTCCATTAGTACAAGAATTGTGGAGATCTTGCTTATCAAAAAAATAAGAAGAGGGTAAGGTGGTCTACAATAGACCCTTCCTTGGAGCAGCCCACACATGGCAGGAGCTTTGTGCACCAGGTTGCCCTATTTTATTATTTTCACAACAATATTTACTTCTGTGTTACTAAGTTGCTGCCCCGAGACTCTAGAGAGAGAGAGAGAGGCCAACCTCAATTGCCAATGGTGCAGTAGTGGAGCCATAACGCTTGATAGCTTTTCCTTCCTTATCAATCAGAAATTTGGTGAAATTCCATTTGATGCTGGAACCGAGAAAACCACTTTTGCTTGATTTAAGGAATTGGTAAACTGGTGCTGCATCCGGACCATTAACTCACACCTAGTTTGACTTTCAAGTTTGTTATTAGGTCAACAGAGTTGCAACAAAACGATAAAAGATATTCTCAAACCAGCTGCAGATAGACTCTTCAAAATCTTGATACACCAGACCGACTAATACATAGAATGCAAAAAGGCCATATATAGCAGGATGGTTGCTTCCAACTTCTGGTAAAAGGGCAGAAATATGTTCAAACTTCAATGGTACAACACAATTGAAAAACTAGAATTATTGCCTTTAAATTGAAATAACGAGAAAAAGGGACAAATGGCGGAAAGGTAAAGGTGCAGAGCAACCAAAGCATTTGCCACCTCACACATTCCCATAATACAGTTCCTGCTGATCCGTTAAGTCTACAGAATTAGATCAGGTTACAACAACGGCTATCATTTCCCGATACATTTGATCAGCTTTTTGGTCTTTTAACAAGATTTACTCTAGCAAAATAACAAGTTTTCAGTAGGATAACTCTAACAGTCATTTATTTGTTCAACTGAAATACTCACCAGTACAATTAAACACATATACTAAGAACGAACTGATTTCTGAATGCTAAGATGAACATATGGCAAACAAGAAAGGATTCAAACGGAAACAATGTCACATGGTATAGAAACTTATACAAAAGGTAAAAAGTAGACAATAAACACAGATGAGGATTACTTAGCAAACGTTTGGAGACAGATGAAGATCCTTTCTGTAAGGTGGTCTCTGGCCACCAGGCAAATGGGCCACGACTATCCACTAGGTACCTATATCCTCTCACCAGTATATGTGAGTAACTCTTCAATAGGAAGATAGAATGAAATGATGTAACTTTTTTCGCCTCTGCTGGGATTCAAACCCCAGTCTCACGTGGTGTAGAATCCAGCTTAGCATGAAAGTCAGTTTATTATGGCCAGTGCGGTTGTTCCTGTTTCATTTTCTTCATCAAATGTCTCACCACACCCTTGGGCGCATGCAACACAGATGAGACTTATCGAAAATTAAACAAAGGTAAGAAGTAGATAACGAACAAGAAGTAATAACTGGAAATGATGCAATCATATACGCTGGAATAATTGGATTCAAAATGCAGCAAGGTTAGACCCAAATGAGCTAAATGCTAAGCTAGCGTTTGGCCATAGATTTCCAAATATTATTTGGGTGAAATTTCACCATGTGTTTGGCATAGTATTTGGAAACCATATTTCACTTTTTTAGAAAAAATATAATTTATACCCATAAGTTTTAAAAACTATCAAAACTACCATAAGTTTGTATTACAATTCAATTGGATCTTCGTTGCAACAAATAACAAGTAGTGTCTATGACACTGGAGCAATGTGGTAGTTTGGAGTGAGTGCAACAAGCATCATTCCATACATTGTGAAGTAGACAAAGCACATGACTTTGTTATCCTGAGTCGGTTTTTCATCAAGAACCATATCATTTATTTTTTTTTATGACGAGGGAAACCCGCAGCCGTTACCCTTTGGGTGCGCACAGGGTAAAACCCTCACTCTTGTGCAATAGCTCGCAAACCACATAGGAGAGGTAACCCGCACTAGGCAAGCCCAACACGACCCAGAAGGCAAACCCCCATCAACACTTTCATATTCAATGAATATTTCATCACTACTTTGGTGTTCACGTAAAAAATTATGTAATACAACGCAAACAACTACTATGGAGGATGTTTTTGTAAAAGATAAAAGTTTGGTGTAAAATTTCAATTTTTAAAAGATCCCAAATAATGAGATTTGGCCCAAATACTAGTATTTGGGATATTTGCCAAATAATGGCAAATTGTATGGACAAACACTATTTGCCAAATTTCCCCCCAAATATTACTTGAGAAATCTATTAAATTGTGGTGGAAAGGGGTTAGAGCTTAGATGTTATTGTGCATCCTTTTTGGACTGCTCGACCGTGTTATACATTTAGATAGTACAACTTATTGTGTGGCAAAAAAACAAAACAGGAAAAGCTAATTCTGAAATCATGTTGATTCTTGCTTGTGGTTAGATAATATATTAATGAGTACTTATTGATGAAGCTTAGTATGTCTTTTAATCCGTGATGGAGGGGGCTGGAGATTAGATTTTATTAGGTGTCCTTTTGGGACTGCTCTACCGTGTTATACATTTAGATAGTTACAACTTATTGTGTGTGGGCCATGTGGCAATAGAACAAAACAGGAAAGCTGATTTAGTAATTCTGAGTCCTGCTGATTCTTGCCTGTGATAGATAATGTATTAATGAGCAATTGAATGCAGGATCCTATTTATGTGGTTTCACTTATTGATGTAGTTCTTAATTCTTATCATGTATAGAAATAAAATTTGTATTGTATCTGTTGCCAAATTTCCCCCCAAATATTACTTGGGAAATCCCCCAGATACAATACAAATTTTATTTCTATACATTATAAGAATTAGGAACTACATCAATAAGTGAAACCACATAAACAAGATCCTGCATTCAATAGATCAATAATACATTATCTACCACAAGCAAGAATCAGCAGGACTCAGAATTACTAAATCAATTTTTCCTGTTTTGTTCAATTGCCACACACAATAAGTTGTAACTATCTAAATGTATAACACGGTAGAGCAGGCCAAAAAGGACACATAATAAAATCTAATCTCCAACCCCCTCCATCACGGATTAAAAGACATACTAAACTTCATCAATAACTCATTAATATATTATCTACCACAAGCAAGAATCAACAGGATTTCAAAATTAGCTTTTCTTGTTTTGTTTTTTGGCCACACAATAAGTTGTACTATCTAAATGTATAACACGGTTGAGCAGTCCAAAAAGGATGCACAATAACATCTAAGCTCTAACCCCTTTCCACCACAAATCTTGGGACAAACATATATTCTTCAAGTGTCCTGATTTTGCTTCCAGTCTCATGTTTTTTTTACATATATTATGTTCTAGTGGATCTCTGTGCTCTATATGTGTTTACGTTTTCAACATCCAATAGGGAAGATTGTGAGCCGCTTCTGTCACCCATAACGACCACTAAGAGCATAAGCGCAATTCAAACAATAACTAAGTCCATGTCATTAGGTGAAAATGCCTTGATTATCAAAATTTATCATACATGTCATCTTACCTTTTGGAAAATGGGATATTCTGCCTTGAATCTAGAGCAAGCAAATTGTTGTGCTTCCTCACTTGTCCCTGGCTCTTGCTTCAAGAATTGGTTGCAGGGGAAGGCCAAGACCTCAAAGCCTGAATTTCAATAAAAATATATACTACATTGTCGTATGTACAGAATCACAAACATAGTTAAGGGAGTACAAACTTGAGAGAAAAATTATGAGTATACGAATATGTCATCATGTATAGTCAGTAACTAATTGTAACAATATGAGGAACAAATTTTGAGAGAAAACGAAAGGATCACCTTCCTCCTTGTATTTGTCGTAGAGTTCAGTCAACTGGGTATAGTTTGAGTTTGTGAATGAACTGTTTCAACACACACGCACACCATCACCACATGTCTAAGGGGGTAATATATCATAACAATAATACCCCCACCACACACATTGATGTGACACTTTTCACTTATTGAGGGTTAATTTAATTAAAAGTCAATTTAACTAATCTTTAGCTAAATTGTAATAGACCAACTCAATAATTTGGATATTAAAGGAACTGTATAGAAGTGCAATTCCTAATAAATACATTTGGACAGAATTCACAATAAACCAAAAGTTTTTGTGATGAAGGGGTCAATAAGTAACCGATACAGATAATAAAGCTTAAAGTTTGGAAATTACTTGCATATAAAAATAATGGAAAAAGGAGGAGTGTAAACCATTTGGAAGAAGAAGCACTTTTTCATTGTAGATGGTGAGGTCTACATCCTTTCCTTTGCTATCCTGTAAATTGGAAACAAAGATATGAGAATGCTAATACACGTTGAAAAGAGATTCTGTAAAAACATAACCTTGACGGTGAATTGGTGGATTCATTTTTGTGGAACTGATGGAGAAGCACCCATTTTGATATGTGTCACAACAACCTCATCAATGGGGTTAAAAAAAAGATGAATAGTTTCCAAGAGTAGCGCAGATTCTTGGCAACTCACCCAAAGAAAACCTGAGAATTTAAGAAACGTGAAGGAAGACTGGACTCCATCATCAGATAATTGTGGTGCGACCCGAAAATGGATCCGACATTTAATTAAAAGCTATCTATATAATTGTCCTATCTCATTTCAACATCAATGCCTTGGTCTTTTAATTTGACATATATATAAACATTAACTCGTATTTATTAGATAAAACAAAATTTGAATATATATATATTGAAAAAGAATTGTAACATAAAATTTCACCCCCTCTCCTTACTAGTCAACTACTTTTAATTTTTACTCTATTATACTTTGAAGAAAAGTAGAAATAATAATAATTATTAAGTTAGGATCGGAACTCGCTTTTAATTCATATTAATTTCTACCAATAAATCGAGTTTTATAGCATATGAAAAGATTAAATAAAAGCTCATCGTTTGAAATTAAAAATACTTATCTGACATATGTTGGATAGATTGAAATTTGCAAATAAACAAAAAAGAATTGTCCACAACAATTACTTTAACTTTTATATATAGTAGCGAAGAATAATGAATTATCGTAAATTGCTACCATTAGTTATTCTTGTTATTGCGCATATTATGGTATCAATGGAACATGGAGATAAAAAGGATTAAGTAAAGAATAAAGTTCCATGTCTAACTTCGGTAACAAAAAGTTGTGAGAATAGAACCATACTCAAACATGAAGGAACGTCATAAGAATAAGCTCATGAGATAAAAGCAATATAGTACGGTACTAACTAATGAAGGGTAAAATTGAAAGAATATATTAAAATTAGTCTAGAAAAATTAAATAATTAAGTTAATTTGAAAAATAAAAAATATTTCAAAATTCAATTAATTTAAAATGAATGGAGTAACTTTAAACACAAGACAATATTATACGCATACACATATAAATACGTCTTAAATCAATAATTCTATACTATAGTAACTATAATATAAATTCACAAACAAGTGAAATCAAACACTTCCATCTGGCACATGAAAAATATCTTTCTAATGATATAATAAAATACTACAAATATCAAAAGTAACGTTTTTTTTTTTCAAAGTACTCAATCATGCTATATCGATTTGTCTCTTTCTTCCCTACAAAATTACACACTATAACTGTAAACAAGTCAAAATGATATACGTGTTAGTTGGTTGTTTGAAGAAACACTTGTAAGCACATCACTTGTAGAAAGAATCACAAACATATATTAAAATCCAAAATATTTATAGCCCTGCCACGTATTACATAAGATATTTTCGAGCCACTAAAAAAAAAATGGAGTATGTATTTAATAAAGGACACGTGTCCATGGATCCTTGCTTGCTTGCTTCCATACGATTACATTGACCCGAAGAAATATCATATCCGTATGGTCTCTATCATCCAATCAAAGAGAAGCACGTAGCCAAGTATTTTGCAATGATGTGATGGGCAGGTATTTATTTATCTATACTACTCTTAGCCGTTTATTTAAGTTCCCAAAAAACTACTTTACTGACCACATTCTCGTCGGAAAAGTAAGTATGAGTGACAATCGGAGTCAAAGACGGCGGGTCGGAGAGTCGTCCGAATCGGGAATTTACAATGAGAGGATTCTTATCTTGGTGTTTGCGTCAATGAATTGGGATATTCGTACACTATGTCAAACGGCGTCGGTCAATAGGAAACTCCGTGCAGTTGCGAGAAGGATTCTATGGAGAGAGCTATGCGTGTATCGAGCTCCGCAAATGATAACGGCTTTAACTGACGGCTCTCCGAGCGGTAGAATTGGCGGCGGATGGCAGGCGATGGCAAAATTGATGTTTTTCTGCAGTGGATGTCAATCGACCCGGCATTTCCAAGTGCGCGAATCGGCATCGGGTCACTTCGTGAAAACATCTCGGTTTTCGAAGACATCCGGTCGGAGTTTTTTGGTGAAGAGATGTAGAAGTGATTTGCTGTACGTGAGTGATCCGTGTGAGCATCCAACTGGGAGCGATGATTTGGGGCTTTTCCGAGGGGTATTTTGGGGATTTATGAAATCTAGGACAAGGGCGAGTTTGATCAGAAGACGAGTGGAGCTTGAAGAAGGAGCCAAGTGTCCATTCTGTCGAGCTCGGGTTTGGAGTATGACGGCGGCTCGGCTCATACCCAAAAGTGCGGCGCGGCGGCTTGGTTCGATGGAGACTGGATTGGAGTACTTTGTATGTGTTAATGGGCACTTATATGGTGCTTGTTGGCTGGTTCCTTTATCGTCTGATGAAGGTGAAGAAAAAGATGGTGATGATGAAGATGAAGATGAAGCTGAAGATAGCAGTGAAGAAGCTGACCAGAGATTTGACGGCGGCGGCTATTTTCATCGTGGGAATCAGATAGTAATAAATGGGTGTCTGAATTACGGGCTTACTTCTTGATATGACCAAAATGGAATCAAAAGGGACGATGTTCAAGCAGGAAGAAGGGAAGAGGGATCATTTTTGTAGTTCAGCTTGTTGTTAATATGAACTGAATCATAATTTTCTGTTTATTTGATGATTTGTTTAAGGTTCTATTCTTAAGAAAATCTTTTCTGTTACTATTAGATTTCCCGTGCTTGATTCAATAGTAGCCAATCAATTGTGCAATATAGAATCTATTTCCGGAAAGAAGAAAGTAAACATTGTAAGATAGGAAGTTAAAAAATAAAAAGGGCATCCCACATTAATAAAAGGGACACACTTCAAGAGAGGTGTAATGTAGATTAGCTTATCTTAATGCAAATATTAGTTCCACAATATAGATCAAATGGAGGAATTTTACTTTGTTGGATAACAAATTTGGAAGACTCACATAATACATCAGATGTCAAACAGAAAAAGGTAGCTAAAACTGAAAACAAATAAAAGAAAGCATAATCACAAATTGTTTAGTTTGATATAGTTCACAAATAACTGCATTCCATGCTAACAAACAAATTTGGTTGCCCGCACGATCGATAAATAGTCAACATTTTTCTTCACTAATCTCAACCTACTTTATTGGTAACGACGTCACATTTTCGGATGCTTAATATTGGTTTATATTGATAAGATATTATAGTGTACTTTTCATTTACTTACTCTATTGTATAAAGTTGAGTGAAATCAAATCAAATACTTAGTGTATTGTGGTATGTAACTTTTGAAAACTGTGACATATATATACATGGTCTGGGTCCTCCAAAAGCCGGCCGTCCCCGTTATTGTTGCCGCCCTCCCAGCTACCATCCAGCTAAGAATGTCCTCTCTTTCTAAGCAAACCAAATCTTACTTTCTTCTAACCTCTTATGATCAAAACAAAGCAAACTTACCAATCTTCTTATAGTCGCCTTCCCCTCCCTCTGGCTGTGACAATTTTTCTGGTTAGTTCCTTACTTCAATATTCTTCTGAAGCTTGTCTTCGATCATCTTAATTTCCCCTGTTTCCAACACTAATTATCGGTTTTAGCACCTGATCATGTAAATTAATTAGCATAGTTTAAATATGAATGAAACTGACCTTTCACGTTGATGGTGAGTGAGGGTTTGGTAATCCCCTCCCCATAAGTATCACCAATTTTGTTGAAACTTGATAATTTAGAGATCCATTAACATTTCGGGAATAGGAAAGAGCCCTCTTTGTTCATATGCATAATGTCAATGAACTTTATGCTTATCCATTATTACCAGCTCTAAATTCTAATCATATAATTATTATCACTTAACAGCTAGTAGGAACGGAGATTGATTTGTCTTCGGAATGAGAAATTATGGTGGTATCGAGTTTATATGCATAATAATATCTGTTACCTGTCAATTCCTTCAGAAATATTCTCATAAATAAAGTTGCACCCCAAATAACAGGTGACATGGCTAGTGTTCAAGATATTTCTGTTTCAGCTGTGATCAACCTTATATCTGCACTTGTTTTCCTTTTGGCCTTTGCAATTGCACGGCTTCAGCCAATCAATGACAGAGTATACTTCCCTAAATGGTATTTGAAGGGTATACGAGCAAGTCCTAGAAGTTCTGGATCATTTGTGAATAAATTTGTCAACTTGGACTTGAGAACATACATTAGGTTCTTGAACTGGATGCCTGCAGCTCTAAAAATGCCTGAACAAGAGCTTATAGGTCATGCTGGTCTTGATTCTGCAGTCTATATACGTATTTACCTTCTTGGGTGAGTCTTTGGGTTATGATATACTGGAACCTGTTTTGCAAATTTTTGAGTTCCTTGTATATGATCTAACTCCTGAATTATCAATGCAGCTTGAAGATCTTTGTTCCTATCACACTACTTTCTTTTGCGGTTTTAGTGCCTGTTAATTGGACTTCTGGGGAAACATTAGATCACATTGAAGATCTAACGTTCAGTAACATTGACAAACTTTCCATATCCAATATTCCTTCAGGATCAAAGAGGTGAGGGTTGACTTGTTTCCTTTTAGTATATTAACACCTCAGCTTGATGTTATTGTAAGAGAGTACTTACTTCCTTTGTTGGTAGAAAATGTTTGACAATTCGTTGAACCAAAATGCACATCAGAAATCATCAACATGTGTGTGTGTAATCATAAGTTTCTACACTGAAGGCTTCAAAAATATATCAATTTACTGTCTGTAAAGTTATTAATGAACATGTATTCACGACACAAAATTGGTTCCTTTATTGTTTTTCTTCAATTCTTAACGCAAAACAGAAAATGTACCAAAAATAGCACTTCATTTAGTATCCTTGGCAGGCGGAGGGACTACACTTGCCTTTATTTGCAATCTCTCCCTCCATATCCACACCTAACCATAATAACCTATTACTGTAGTTTCCACACAGAAGATTATAAGAAATGTTTACCAAGGAATTGGAAGGCTTATGTTTTGCTTTTACAAAATTTTGATGTTTTTTTGTTTCTCATGACTTATGCCGATATGTCATTACAGATTTTTTCCTAATAAAAAACTTAGTTTTATATTCTTTCAGGTTTTGGGCACACGTGGTGATGGCTTATGTATACACATTTTGGACCTTGTATATTCTGTACAAAGAATACAAGAAAATATCAACAATGAGACTAGATTTTCTTGCCTCTGAAAAACGTAGGCCAGATCAGTTCACGGTGAGTGTTCACATATTTTATTGACCACAAATGTTATGAGTGTTTCTAAATACTACAATATTTGGTTAGTTTACCAGATCTGATTCTTCTCATAGGTCCTTGTTAGAAATGTCCCACCCGATCCTGATGAATCAGTGAGCAAGCATGTTGAGCATTTTTTTCGTGTCAATCATTCAGATCATTATCTTACACAGCAGGTTTGTATTGTATTATAGTACTCCATATTTATGTTTGAAGTATTTAAGTATTTGACAGGATGGATACTGAGTAATTATGGGAAATTTAGGAGTAGAACCCTTTTCATTCTTATGCAGTTACTACAGCAGATGAACCTTAAAATTGATGCTACTTTTAGGTTGTTTACAATGCCAATAAGCTTGCTAAATTGGTGGAGAAGAAAAAGAGTAACCATAATTGGCTTACTTACTACCAAACCAAGTATGAGAGAGACCCTGAGAAGAAACAAAAAATTAAGGTATTATCCTTTGTTTATTGAGACTTAGTTTCATTTTTCATTTTCCTGTTGTTTCTGATTCTCTTATTCTGTCATGTATAGACAGGATTTTGGGGGCTTTGTGGAAAATCTGTGGACGCCATCGACTATTATACAACTGAAATTGAGAAGTTGACCAAAGAAGTAAGTTATGGTTTAATTTGGTAATATTTGGTCATTATGTTGCCTGAAACTAAGGTATGGAAGCTTGTGTGAGGTGAATGTAGACATTTTCATTAGCAGGAAAAGGTAAATATTGGATTTTCTGTTTTGATGTAGGAAGCTGAAGAAAGAGAAAAGGTTAAAAGTGAGCCCAATGCAATCGTTTCTGCAGCATTTGTCTCGTTTAACTCTCGTTGGGGAGCAGCTGTATGTGCTCAAACACAACAGTCAAGAAACTCAACCATTTGGTTGACAGAATGGGCTCCTGAACCACGTGATGTCTATTGGGATAATCTTTCAATACCATATATTCAACTCTCTGTACGGAGACTGCTAATGACTGTTGCTTTATTCTTTCTTACTTTCTTTTTTATGATCCCGATTGGATTCGTTCAAGCATTTGCAAGCATTGATGGCATCAGAAAGGTTCTTCCATTCCTGAAGCCATTAATAGATATGTATGTGATCCTTCTATATGTGTGCTTGTAGTATATTTATATATTAAAGTTAGACCAGCAATGTTTCTTGGGAAGTAAACAAGTACTCGTATAAAATGTTTAAGTTGTTTCACTTAGTAATGTAGGTGTGAATTGTAGCAGCTACATCTTGCATAGAGTCACTTCTTCTAAATTGCAATGATAGACTCAATGCTTAGCTTTGACCTTCCTGTATTTTGCAAATTAAATCAATATCTAAAGTTTGTGGTGCATGCTGGAATTTCTGCTGCAGGGATTTTGTAAAATCATTTGTACAAGGTTTTCTACCCGGGATTGTATTAAAGATATTTCTGATTCTTCTTCCTATGATTCTAATGATCATGTCAAAAATAGAAGGCTTTACATCACTATCATCTTTGGACAGAAGATCAGCAGCTAAATATCATTTGTTTGTCATTGTAAATGTCTTCTTTGGAAGTATCATTACTGGTGCCGCATTTGAACAGCTTGACAGGTTTCTCCACCAGTCTCCAACAGAGTGAGTTCCGTTCCGTTCCGTTCCATTCCGTAAAGGAAAGAAAGGCTAACCAAAAACAATACTTGTATGCAATTCTTAACATTTGCTTGCAATGCAGGATCCCAAAAACCATTGGTGTAACTCTTCCGATGAAAGCTACTTTTTTTATCACTTTCATAATGGTTGATGGCTGGGCTGGAATTGCAGCGGAGATCCTTAGATTGGTTCCTCTAATCATGTTTCACATTAAAAATACATTTCTAGTAAAGACGGAGCACGACAGGGAGGAAGCAATGGACCCTGGATCATTGAACTTTTCTGTATCAGAACCTCGCTTACAACTCTACTTCCTACTAGGCCTTGTCTACGCAGTGGTCACACCAATACTCCTGCCTTTCATCATTATCTTCTTTGCCTTTTCTTATATGGTTTTCCGCCATCAGGTATGTTTTCCTACTACTTTTTTAACACATAATATAAGAATAATACTAAAACTGCTTCTTTGATGCTAGATCATTAATGTGTACGATCAGAAGTATGAGAGTGGTGCATCATTTTGGCCAGATGTCAATCGTCGTATACTTATAGGTTTGGTCATTTCCCACCTTCTATTAATCGGTCTACTGAGCACCAAAGATGCTTCCCAATCAACCCCATTGCTGATAGTACTTACAGTTTTGACAATCTGGTTCCATAAGTTTTGCAAGGGAAGATTTGAGTCTGTGTTTGTCAAATTCCCATTGCAGGTTAGTGTTCCTTAGATCTTACACTTTGATGTTCATAGTTGTGTTAAGTTAGGATGCTGTTAGCTAGCATGAAGTTACCGTTGGTATACTCAACTATGAATATTAAGATTTTTTGTTCAATGCACTCTGCAGGACGCGGTGGTGAAGGATACAGTTGAACGGACCACAGAACCAAACTTTAACTTGAAAGAATATCTCCAGGATGCTTATTTGCACCCTGTTCTCAAAGGGGTTGATTTTGAAGTATTGAAAGAGCTTGACGATGAGGAGAAAAATTCACTTGTTGCTACCAAGAGGACATCTAGACGGAGTAGTAAGACTGTTTCTAATGGCACTTCTGAAGATCAGAAGACGGTCTCAGAGATTCAGCTCGTATTTTAATTTGTCACCAAATTAAAGCAGTTAAAAAATAGCATTCATTTGTTTTATTTCCTTTATAGCTTGTGTTAGGCCTTCTGTATCAAAAGATGGCAGTGAAAATGTCATGTAGTATATATACTTAAGATCAAAATGAACAGAATGTCTTTCTCATGAAAAGCTGTTCATGTTGGAATATGTCTTTTGTTGAAAAAATAGAAAAAGAATAGGTATACTTTAATCTTTTTGACACATTGTTGTGAAGAAAGTAGCAATAAGAGTGAGTGTGAAGGGAAGTTCACGATAGTCTCTCAAAAATACAAGATAAGACTGTATAGAATAGAGCCAATGAGTTCTTTGGACCCTTCACATACATAACGAATACTGACCCCCACAAATTCAAAGGCTTTAATGAAAACAAAATGGTGATCATAAGTAGTAAAGTAGTTGTGTAAAAACCAAACTAAGATTTTGAACTAAAGCATCTTGACAAAATATAATGAGAGACCTAGGTATTACATAATGGTGCAAGTGCGAGAATCTTGGTCACCAAAATAACGAGTGAAGTCATTTAACCCTGACATGGGCTGGGCGGGCGGATAAAACCCATAATCCAGGTCCGGACCATAATGCCCATATTGATATGGAGGAAGCATGTAAGTTGCAGCTTCTCCATTGAAAAATCCAGCAGGGTGACCTCCCATTTGCATAAACATAGCATACTTTTTCTGTCTTTCTTCTTGAGTAACATAATCTCGCATGCCTCCACCTCTTCTATGTATTTTGCAGTAGCGATCCCTGCAAATAGAGGCAACACATTCATTTTATGTGAAAGTATTTGACTCAAAATAGGGAGGTTGGATCATGATGGATGAGTTTTAGTTGTGAGACACTATTTGACCAATAATCCTGACTCTTTTTTATCCAAGATACTCAACCTATATATATATATATATATGGTCCATTCAAATTTGGCTCATTCATACCTGCAGATGCTTGGATCAACTCCTTGAGGGGCCACATAAGCTTCAGCTGTATGATATTTTTGCTTGTTTTTGGTTGACACAAAATCTTCACACTTTTTATTCTTTGGTGACACATAATCTTCACAGTACTGAGTCTCATGATCATCACTACTATTCCAACAATGTTCATTTCTTTTCTTGTTGTCATCACCAACTTTAGCTTTGCCCTTATAGTCCTTAGTATGGCAAGCTGCAGCCTCTTCTTTATTGTCAAAGTGATTGTGATTGGAGTTTCTACTTGTGCTATTATTATCATGTGAAAGAGGATTCTTCGAATAAGATATCAGCTCAGCCTTTTTCCCCTTTTTCTTAATGGCTTCAATCAGCATCAAAGGATTAAAATTGCCTCTAATGGTAGCCAAATTTGTTCTTGGATCATAACAAACTTCAAACACACCTACCATAACATTCCAATATTGTAAACATTTAACTTGTATAGTTTACACTATCAGCATATATAGTTTAATATGTAAGTTACACATTAATTAGGTCAATTTTATCATATAGATTTTATGTAACTAGCTTATAATAAACCTGATTGTGTAAAAAATGTAACTTTAAAGACTTAAGGTAGTCAACAAACTAATTAAGTAATTTAATTTCTCAAGGAACTTATTATTGCATAAAACTTGGACTAAGAAATTAAAGATAGTACTTCACAATGAGACATACTTGTACATTAATTAGTGTAATATTAAAATGTTTATCAAATTAATAAGAATATCATACCATTTATCTTTAATAGAATTTTCCTCAACTTTCTTTGGCATGCTGTACAACAATTGACTTCAACTTTTATGACACAGACCTGAAATGTTTAAAAACAATTTAAAGACATATATAACCTTGTAAATGTTACTACTAAATTAAAACATATATAACACAATTAAAAAACATGAGAGAGCTGAATATACAGGATCATCGGGACTGTGTTCCATCAAGATGACTTGATAAAGAAGACAAAGAACAAGTGATTTCTCCAGTTTGTCACCTACACAACAACATTAACAAGGAATTAATTCATTTGGAAATTTATTGATAAGTGTTACGAATTCAGTAAGAAAATACCAAGATTTTAGAGTATGATTTTGCACTTGACGGACAAATTAAAGAAGAGATGAAAGCTTTAAAAAACTCTATTAAGGTAGTGCAAAAACTTACTAGTATACTATTATGGAGATCCCTACTATTATTAGGATACTTTGACATGTAATGAAAGGTTATTTACCATTTTTATGATATTACAAATTAATGCTTCCTATATATATAAAGAAAGTTTCTTGTAATTACCTTAATTATAATATTGTGCAAATATCTTTTTAATTCATGCACGATCTAAGTAAAATATCTCGCCCCACAATACGGGATTTGAGTACAAAAATAGTGATTTTATTTCCACTCTTGGCAACTTATTTTAAGGAGCTCATTTAATTAATTAACTGCAAGAGTCAATAGCTATCTTAACCGGGTTCGACCCTCATATCTTTCTTCTTTTTTAATTCGATCCTCAGTCATATCATATTTATTCCTCTCCACATCACACGCATATTATAGTGTATTGGCGAACGGGTTCAATATTGGTTTTCCGCCTTGTATGTTGGAGTGTGTGACCATTATATCCAACACACTTTTAAAAACTAAAAAAAATCCAAGTGTACCATTGTACAACTTTTTTTAAAATCCCATTCATAAATTTCTGGCTCTTCTACGAGCAGTAGGCAAGGGAAGACAGGGAATACGAGTCCCACACGAGGGAGTCGACAAAGAACAAGTGTAGAACTTTTTCATAAATTGTACAACTTTTTTTAAAATCCCATCCAAGGCTTTCACACCACACAGTTAGGTAAAAATGGAGAGGAGGAACAGCAGAATACAAAGCACTGCATGCAATAGCATCTAAAAATACATTTAACAAAGAAAATCAGTACATGCTGATTTACACACTCAAAAGTTTAAAAGTACATCCACTTTTGAAGGTCTCAGATTTTAGCCTTTTAGCCACCACGAGCTTCTCTCCTCGTAGCATCATGAAGCAGCTCAATGTCGACTCCATCTGGAGGTAACTGGACGTATCTCACCACTGATCCTCTGATGAAGCAGTTCCTCACTGAACGCTATTACATCAAAGTAACATGAAAAATGTTAATGGTAATACCAACGAAAAACATATCACATGATAAAATATAAACAATATCAGGAAAAGGCAGGAAAGGCGGAAGCAAAGTGAACCAAGTAAAAAAAGAGAGGGTGAAACTGCTAAATACACCAGTGTCAACCAGTAAACATACTATATTTGCATATTTTTTTTAGTACTTGTAATTTTCTGGAACTTTGCATGTCTTGTGCACCAGCAAAAGGCATGTGAGTAGTTGCTTAAAGGCTACTTTTACATTGTTTTTCCGGATTCTGTAAGGCAGAAACTGTAAGCTATCTACTCTCTGTGCAACAACAACAACATACCCTTGCATACTTGGGAGATTGATCTTATATAAGAATCTTCTGACAATTGTTTCTCCAGTTCCAGTTGCACAACAAAAACAACAAACCTAGTGTGAGTCAGAGATAGAGAGGTTGTGTGATGCAGACCTTACCCCTACCTTGTGTGAGGTAAAGAAGTTGTTTCCGAAAGACCGCCGATATTTTGTGTTGTCACAAAAATAAAGATGGTCTAGGTCAATGATATAGTGTGATCCAGAGATAGCTGCAGTTTTTTGTTTTTTTTTTTATGACAAAGGGAAATCCGCAGCCGCTACCCTTTGGGTGCGCACAGGGTAAAACCCCCACTCCTACGTCTTGGTACTGTTTTTTAATTAAACTACTTACTGAAAAAAGAGTTGATATGGAAAGAGCAACATACTAGAGACCAACCTTGCCACATAATTTTAGTTCTGAATTTGCACAACCACTAACTACAGAAAACCAATATGTTAAGATACTAAGTTTTCATAAGAGAGAATCAAAAGAAACAGAAAATAAAGTGATCTATTTGGAATGGGGATCATTTTTATTTGTTTTTGAAACTGGTAAATCATTATCTCTTACTATATCCACAGGCTCATAGCAGGTACCCAGTCCTTGTAATAATACAGAAAGCATATGCTAACACATATTATCCTGACCGTTCAATCTAATATTTTTGAGGTATAACACCACATTTGCATGCTCGGTACCCTTTTTAACAAGTTAATTTAATAATTTAAGCCCATTTGATGAAGCACCTACTAAAATGATCCACTGATTGGAATTGGCATTAGATTCATGTATCCATAACAGGCAATTCCAGGCTGGAAATAACTTAAATAGAACCTTGGAATAATAGCTAACATATTTAACCATGAATACTAGATAATCGATACACAGGAAAATTGTGAGAAATAGCATAACTCCACTCAAGCTAATACAATCCACTCAGAAACTTGTGACTAGAGATAGTGTAATGTACTCATTTCACATTTCAGGCATTAGATCTGCAAGATCACATAACTTAAAGAAAAACCTATATAACATTAATAGTTTATCATTTTTGATAACTAATAGTTGTCGTATGTGGCAATAGTTGATTCAGAGAAATTCTTGACAAATTGCGTAGGAATAACTGTTTTAGACCCTATTGCTTATCATTTCTTAGCCTTGCAATAACGCAATCCTTAGTATGCAAATTTTCAAGGATTCTTTTCTTGCTTTTATATATGGTAACCTACATGGCTACATCTACCTTCCCACCTAATCCTCCCTCCCCATGTCATAGTGGCCCTTTCGACTTTACTGCCTTGGTGACTAGGACCTCCAACCTCCAGGATTGAAGCAGCAGGTGCTTTATAAAAGGTTTGATATCATCAAAATCTTACAAAATAATATTCACAAATCCATTATTAACCTTTCCCAGTGCACATATCCAACCAACAGTTAATAGCTTTTAAGAAAACTATTGGTTCGTTGGAACTACAATCACAATATTATGGAACAAATACCATCCTTCCACCTAGTGCATATTGCATACACACAGAAAATAGAATGAACCTCAACATTATAATTAGAGCCGAGTTGGATATCAATTCTTGAATATGTGTGTGTGTGTAGAGAGAGAGAGAGAGCAGTGAATAACTGAATATCACTTCCTAAAAGAAATCAACAGCAGAAATAAGAAACAAGTATAGTAAAGATATGGAAGAAAGAGCAGTGAACCCTACTGACTTCCCTAGTGATTAACTTACTCACCAAAATTGTCAGAGGCCTACGAAAACTCTAACATGCTTAACAATCCAACCATTGTATATAAAAGTACAGAAGTAAGCATTCCTAATCAAGAAGCAATATTTTATCCACCCGCCAAAAACCGTATGAAGGAGAAAAGGGAATGCAATTACCATGTGAGGGTACTTGTCTTCATCAACGACACTTGTGTTTTCGAGCTTAATGTTGAGATACTGATCGACTGAATGGAGTGTGCCTCGGATAGCCAAATCATTCTTCAGTTCCACTGTCACTTCTCTGCCCACCATGTCCTTGAAGTATGAGAAAAACAACTGGAAAGAGTGGGACGGGAGAAAACTCAGTTAGATACAAGTTAAAAATATAAAGCTATGAAAAGGATTGATTTTCATGAAGGAATCGGAATTTCCAATCTACAACAATCAGAAGATTTCTTTTTTTCATAGAAAACTTAAATGGAGATAGATACTAAAGGGATTAGACTGAACAGTGAGGAATGAACATCAAGAGGAAAAGGATAGAGTAACATTACCATTTTCTATTTCTATGGGAAAATCTCGTTAGTTCGCACGTCTTTCGGGGCTTCAGCTGCCAGAAATCTGACATTTCATACCGTATATGTTAAGTAACAAAAATGTTACTTTCATCATTCCAATTTATATCATAATATTCCATTTCTACACAAAATCTAACAAGTTTCAATAATTCAAATTCATTAATACATTCAAAGTTCAAACTTAACTTTTCAACCATCACTTATTCACTTTAAAGTTTTCTTCCTTAATAACACACATAATATATGAGTCAAATAAACTGCTTAAACTCCATACTTATCAAACACCATCACATTTTAAAATGCAATGGAGGGAGTATCTTTATTTGAATATTAAAACTCAAGAGCAGCATCACTTATTCTCTAGCATATTAATATTAAAACTCGAGAGCAGCATGTTTGAATATCTTTATTTGAATTGAAGGAGCAATTTGAATCAATTGAGAAACGGAATTGGTAAATGACTTGAAAGTCAAATGCTCTCATCCCAAATTCTGGCAATAGCTGATTAAAACAAATCATCTTTCAAGCTTTATTAATCCAACTTTGTTTTCATAATAGAAATAACCACAAAGGAACACCTCAAATGGAAAGCAAACTAGAATCACATAAATCAATGATAAATTGAAGTTAAGGCAATATTTATACATACATTTGGAGCAAACACAAAGCATTACAACAACAACAACAACAAATAATGTAAAAATCGTACTCTTAACATAAAGCTCTTTGAAAAGAAGGACTAGGGTTTTGGTGTGAACAGAGATGCAGGTGAAACAAGCGTCGGCAACAGGAGAAAAGAGAATGCGAGAAAGGAAAAGGGCAACTTACAACTCCAATTCACCGGAGAAAACAGATATCCGCCGAACGAGAATGGTGCCTACTGCCTTCAGTTTCAAATTGAAGGCCAAAAATAATATGCCATCAATTCTCAACTCAACTAGTTATTATTTCAAATTAAAAAATAAAATAGACAAATTTCTTAATTTCAATTTTATTTGTTTATTAAAAAAAATCAATATAATAATTACTAATTGAGTAACTAGGTAAGAAATTAATTTTTGAATCTCATTGATAGCATCTATTTCATTCATTATTAAATTAAATTAATTTATTTTATTTTTATTGAGATTTTTGAATAATAGTTTGATAATTAATAAATTATCACTTATTTATCTAGTATTATAATAAAAATAAAATTTAAGTGTGAATTGATAAGATTCATATGTCAATTTAGTTTTTTGAAAGAAGTTTAAAATTGAGCTTTGTATTAAGTTTTCCCTATAATTTTTATTTATCAGTATACATATATAAAAAGATTCTTTGTAGGCATTTGTACATATAATTTATATCGCGATATAAAATCATTAGATGAAATTAGTGTTTGGACAAATGATTTCACATTGATTTTATCTCATGAGTTTATATCAATGAAATTCATATTCTTCAAAAAATCATGATTTGAGATTTTTCAAATACAAAAATTGGCCCATTAATTTATATCTCATTTTTTGTGTTTTGTAAAAGCAATTTTACATATATATCTACTAACCATTTATTTCATATAAGGGTGTTCACGGGTCGGTTTGGATCGGTTATTGGTCAAAATCAAAATCAAACCAACTTAATCGGTTTTAAAATTATCAAAATCAAATCAAACCAAATATAATAGACATTTATCGGTTTGGTGGTTATCGATTTCGGTTTGGTTTGGTTCAGTTATTAACCATACACAAAAATAAAAGAAACAATTCATTCAAAATGTTAAAAAAGTGACAGCAATTCATTCAAAATGTTAAAAAGGTGACAACAATTCATTCAAAATGTTAAAAAAGTGACAACAATCCATTCAAAACGAAAAATAGTTAGAATGACTTAAATTATTGAACTTTCGATCACTAAATTTACTATCAATAAAACTTTAAAATTCATTATATTGCCCTAGAAGGAAGATATAATAACATTTTCAATTTCACAAAGAATTGTCATAGACACTCATTTACAATCAATAAGATAAATGTTTCATCTTGGGAATTTTTGCTTTCAATAAGTAAATTATAAAGAAATTTTAATGAAAATATGTATAAGATCTTTAAAATTGTTTATAAAAATAATATATTAAGTATATAAATTAATTAAATATATGTATATAATTCATCGGTTCAGTTCGGTTATTTCTTCGATTTTTTCGAATAAAATCATAACCAAACCAAATACTATCGGTTTTCAAAAATCTAAAACCAAACCCAAATAAAATCGGTTTTATTTTATTGGTTCGGTTTGGTTCGGTTTTATCAAAACCGTGAACACCCTAATTTTCGTATAATATTATTACTTTTTAAACCATTTACATCTCATATAATGATTATTTTCACTAACATAGAATTTGTTATTACTTCAAATGAATTTCTACTCTACCAATTATATTCATAAAATTAATTATTTTACCAAACAATTGACCAACAAATGGCTCAAAGTAACAATGTTGGTTTGTCTTTTAAGTTATATGAGCGATAAATACAAGTTTAACGTAAGATAATTATTTGTACTATGTGGATGGACTATATTAAAGGCTATTACATCACAACTTATACATGTTTAATATTTTTTTACTGAATTAAAGTTTAATCAATAAAAAATATATTTTTTAATAATGTGTTTGTGATAGTGTATTACGAGATTTTATAAACTTTTACTTACTTATTTGGTAGAATTGTATAAAGAATCGGGATAATTGTACAACTTATACAGTTTTTATGTTTATAAAAAAATATACAATAAAAAAATTTAAATCACATATCCAAACAAAACTTGTAATTTCATATAATTTCAAATCATGATTTCATATGCATGACCAAACTGACAACCCAATGAAAAAAAACACGAAGAAGAAGAAGAAGAAGTGGATGGATTACAGAGTGTTGTAGGAGAGGTAGATAAAGAGCATGATTGGATCAACATAACTGCACTCTCAAGTTTCCTCTCAACCACTCTTAGCATCTTATGGAGTGTCGTCTTCTTCAAATTCCTTTTGTTTTCTTAATCCCAATTTAAACTAGCAGTACCTTTTTTTCATATAAATTTTGTCTCTTCAGTTTTACTGTCATCAATCCACATATTGCTGTGCCCTTTTGTAATTGCTCTCTCCTATTTTTGTTCTTCTATGATTGCTTCTCGCCTTAAACTTGTGTTGCTTAGTCATAATTTCATTCGTTAGGTCTAGGTTTTATTATCCCGGAAATGGTTCCATGGGGCGGACTCTCTTGCTGTTTGAGTGCAGCTGCTCTTTACCTTCTCGGCAGGAGCAGTGGAAGGTTTGAACTTCTCTTCTTCCAGTTGTTTTCTTTTTCTTTTCTGGTTCTTGAATTTCATTACTCTACTAGGTATATTTATGTCCATGAATTTAGATGGGTTTGTTTTCTAATGCAGAGATGCTGAAGTGCTTAAATCCGTTACAAGGGTTAATCAATTGAAGGATCTTGGTAAGTAAATTTGTTTTTTCATATGGATGGCTTAGTCTCTTCAGTAATTACTTTCAGTAGACGTCTTAATTACCAGTAGAAGGAGGTTACATTATATCTGTACAGCAGGCCTTTACTGCATCCCGCATTCATAGGAAAACTCAGCCACTTTATTTAAAGAACTAACTTTGTATTCATTGGGAAAACAGAAGAGGGGCAGATAGATTTTTAGTTTAAGTGTGTGGTACCATGCTACACTTGTAACTCATTTGAGGTAGTATGTTCAACCATAGGGAAAATTTATATTTGGGGGCTCCCACTACATCTGCCATTAAATGACCAGGGTAAGGTTCGGAGAATTTAGCTTTTTGTACCAAAATTGTTTTTGATGCAGCTTAGCTTACTGATTTAAACTGGAAAAATAGAGGTTCAAATTTATGTGGATCTCAATATGCATGTTGAGTGAGCACCAAATGAGAGTCAAGGCAGTGTTAGATAATATACTTAGGCGCGTCAGTCCCAGTGGCATAGCCACCCATTGGACACTTCGTCGGAAAATTATACCGTATATACAAGTAAAATGATAAACAAAGTGGCTAAATAACATATTTTGGACACCGTTGACACAACAATATGATATAGCCTAGTGGTTTCAGGCGCCTTGAAAGAGTAAAGACACAAAATTAATGTGTTCGTGTGTTCAAATCTCACTAGTAGCAAATTTTTTTCCACTTTTTAAGAAGAGCAAGTTCACTTTTGGACACCCTTCGTGAAATTTCGCCACTGGTCAGTCCCATGGTAAGTTTGAGTAAATTGGGGATACTATACAAAGAGGATGGAGGAAAGGTGTGTGACCATGCAAATTGAGTTTCCTCTTTTAACATTGATGGATCTCCTTTTGGTTTCTTTACAAGTAGTAGAGGCATTAGACAGGGATATCCTCATCTCCCTGTGTTCCTTTTAGTTATGAAGGTGCTCAGCAAATTATTGGAGTAGCTGAGAACATGAGGGTGTTCATGATATTTGAAAGAGGAATATCTGTTTGCTCTGCGGCATTACGAATTCTATAATTTAGAACTCAATATTGGATAGTTATATATATCTTATTGTGCCTTTTGGTAGTGAATTTTCTCAACCTTGAATGATCTTTGTACTCCTTTTATTTTAGCACAACTACTAGATACTGCATCCAAGGTGTTGCCTCTGGTGGTTACTATATCTGGAAGGGTTGGATCAGATACACCAATTAACTGTGAGTACAGTGGTCTACGAGGCGTGATTGTGGAAGAAACTGTATGCTATCTCGTTCTTTAAATACTAGCACAGAATGTTTGTTTACTTTTCAATGATGTTTTGTTAAATGTTCTTGATATTATTACAGGCCGAACAACATTTTCTGAAACACAATGATGCAGGCTCTTGGATACAGGATTCTGCTTTGATGCTCTCAATGTGTAAAGAAGTTCCGTGGTACCTGGTTGGAATGACTTCCTTTTGTCTTTTTATCTTAATAGTCCTGTAGGCTGTTTAAATGAATTCATAGGAATTTTGTGTTACTTTGATGTATGAATTTTTAATAGTTTTTGACTTGTGTACCAGGATGATGGCACAGGTCGCACTTTTGTAGTTGGTGGCCGTGGTGCCACGGGTTTGGTACTGACAGTTGGAAGTGAAGTCTTTGAGGAAGCAGGGCGATCATTTGTGCGAGGGACATTGGATTATCTTCAAGGTCTTAAGGTCTGTTTTGTCATATAACTGCTGTTGTTGCAGGTTGTAATTGTATTTTCATAACTCTGTGTGTAAAAAAATTTTGACGGTAACTTTGACTCTAACCTATTATTTTCATAAGTAGGAGGCCAACGGCATTTTTAACTAGCATCGTAAGTGTAGAACATAGTGCATTGCAGGAACCCTCTCTCACCAGTCACTTGCATATCTGTTCATGTATGACCATGCTTTTATGTATTTTGGTGAAGTTAATTAACTGATGATTACTTTTGAAGATGCTTGGAGTGAAGAGGATTGAACGTGTGCTGCCAGTTGGTACTCCTTTGACTGTTGTTGGCGAGGTATGATATGCCTTTTGAGCAGAAAAAGTTGCAACATCTTCATAGAAGTAACACAAATTAACAGAATTCAGATGATACTAGTAGCAACTCTCTGCAGCTTATTGTTTAGTCGCTCACTATGTATTCTCAACACCGATGTCATAAAAAAAATGTATTCCTAACACTAACTGTAAATAGAATTGATGACCGCTTAGAAGAATGATAGTGAAACAAAACACCTTCTATATACTTAATTAATTCTCAACACCTTCTATATAGCTCTTTATTTTCTGTAAGGTAACTCTTAGTACTAGTTTCCAGAGATCTTTGTTGCATCACGTATTGTGGATCTTGGAAGGAAAGAAGAACAAGAACAAGAGGTGACTTCCAGAGAGGATTCAACTATAGAACAAACTCAAAATGATCCAAGAGTTACAGAAATTCAACTAACTGGTTAAATGGTGCACATCCTTGAATTACATAAAATACATATCAAGACCTATGGACATCCTCAATGTATATAAAATGACTCAGTTGTTTTGTCACAGTTGAGTGGAAGCAAGCATCCAGAGTTTAGACTTGCTTTTAATTTGTCATTCCTTGTGTTTTTCATGGTCATCATGACCTGATTGGTAGGGAATAGTTTTAAAGGGAAATAATAAAAATAGCAAATAGAAATAGCTATCAAGGAAATAAGAGGATCAAAATGCATCCAATATTACAAGTATACTCTAGTTATACTTGAGCATTCATTGTTCACTTCTACTACATTACACTGCTTGAACACTAGTTGACCCTTCTTTGTGTGCGCCAAGGGGGCTAAATGCATATAAGAGCTGTCTGTATATAGTGTATCAACTTCATTTTCCTTTGTGATTGTATCAGGCTGTCAAAGATGACATTGGGACAGTTCGGATCCAGCGACCACACAAAGGCCCGTTTTATATCTCTCATAAAACTATTGACCAGCTCATTGCAAATCTTGGGAGATGGGCAAGGTTGATATGCTTTACTTTCCAACTGTAATCAACCCTATATTCCCCTAGTAATTTTACATACTTCTTCCCATGCCTATATCCAATCTTATGTTCAAACTCATAGACATGAGTACGTTCTACTTCAATTAGGTTGGTAGTATATTTTGTAGGACCTGTATCAAGTACCTTTACCACTATCATATCTGTTCAATGAAGATATGTCTAGAAAAATAGAAGTTCATGAAATAACTTGCATGAACATATCAATTCCCCCATGAGTATGTCAAGGCGCCCCCAGGATTTGTTGGTTTTAGCCTCGTACATAGTATTGATAAGTTCTTTTACTTTCAGGTGGTACAAGTATGCTTCAATGGGTTTTACTGCTGTCGGTGTATATCTACTTGTGAAGCATACTTTTCATTATATGATGGAAAGAAAGCGCCACTGGGAATTGCGCAGGAGGTATGTTTAAACCAAAACTTTTAAACTGCAGTCTTTTATCTCTTTTTTCCTTTTCCCCCTTACTAATCCTTTCTTCTGAGTTTTATATCTATTAAAGCGCTTCATAAATGTTTGGGTACATTAGAGATGCTTGTACAAATTACTATAGAGTAGGAGCTGTAACTTGTACCTCACTATGCTTTCTGCTCATGATTGATTTCAAGGATAAGCTAAGATGAAACAGTTTAAGATGTCTCTTTCTTCTTTGCCTGCGTCCCTTGCTCAATTGGGGCATAACATGGGTTACTGGGAAAGATGCTTTGGGAGATGTCGAGGTGCCCGCAAGCTGGTCCAAGCACCACAATTGTTAAAAAAAAATGCTTTTAGAGACGGTAAAGCCAGATTTATAGTAGCTTAGAGATGAGGGTTTGATGCAGTACTAAAAAGAGGACAGAGGGACGAGATAGAGGATATAAATTAGCAAGGGGAGAAAGAGGGAAAGTTAACAAGAGAAAGGACAGAATCTATTACATGGAGTTATTCACGAAGTGTTTGTTCATAAACTGCATTAGAGTTTAGTGACAAGAAATGAGAAAATACCTATAATGACAAAATACTAGGAGCTTTCAATGCATATAAACAAAGGGTGTGCATATTCCATTTTCATGCACAAAATGTATGCGTGTTTAGAAAGGAGGCATAATTTGAAGATACCACCAGTGGGGACATGAAAAACCTTTAGACTTTACCTATTATCAGGTTCTTACACATAAATGCACCCTTCTCAAAAAAGAAAGAACCCTATTTTGGATTCTACTAAAAAGTTGAGGAAGACATGTTGTATTGAATTGTAATAGAAAATGAGGAAGATCTTTATATGCACGCTCTTTTCCACATGGGAGAGATTGCCTATTTTTCTGAGTGGAGCAACAATGATGAGGTTTGTGCCCAAGAATAGTCTATACATGTGTATCTTGTTTGGATGTTGTCAGTCCATTGATGTACTCACCCTTCCTGAGAATGAATGGAGTAAATTACTATTTGATGAATGCCACAAACACCAAACTGCAGGACCCAATTCTTAGATAAGCAAAGTAGTAGCAGGCTAAGGTGAACATTAGCCCCTTAAAATATTTGTGACCTAGTATTTTTCAGCTTAAGGTAACTTTTTTGGTATTTACCTCCTACCAACTTTGCGAAGAGCTTGATATTTAGCCTCCATGGCACTTATGTGAGTATTTTGGTGGAACAGAATAGGAGAGTTTTTGAAGGGGTGGAATATGACTTTGCATCGCTTAGGCTTGCCTTTTATTATTGATTAACTTTTGGTGCACCCACGAGGTCTCTGTTAGTATAGATGAATCATTATCTTATCATAGAGAAGTGTAATTTTATGGGCGTTGTCTACTTTTTGGTACACTTATTGTGTACATGTTTTCTTCTCATAACATCAGTAAACTGTTACTTTGTTTTTTTAATTTTTTTTATTTTAGAAAGCTTTGTGTTGGAGGTTCTTCAGTTATGGAGCTTGTTAAACCAAACAAAAAATGTCGGTGATTGTTTTTGATACATATATGATTATGGCACTGACAATGATGAGCAACACCAAGAAGGTGCAAGAGCAAACTTATAAAAATGACAAGTGTTGCATTCACATCCATTCTCAAAATAATTGAACTTCATCTCTATTTTACCTACAAATATAATTAAATTCCCACCTAATTACCGTGCCGCCACATAATTAGGAAAGATAAAGCAGTATGGCATACTTTGTACATTTTTTTCATGTTAGTAGATTTATTACAAATCTAGCACTTTTGTATAAGGTCCTTTTAGGGAATGTTATTCCTTAGTTTATCCAGGCTAGTATAGGATAAAGACATATGACTTGCATATGTAAGTCCTTTCATGGGCTTTCTCTCTAGTTTTGGTGAATTCTTGATTCTATTAGTGTGAACTTCATTTTGGCTAGTATGATGCTTGTTTTTATGAGGTTGAGATTGATTAGGTTGGTCAATCCAATTAACATCAACTTAAAACACTCCTGAATAGCATAACTTTGCTCCTCTGTTTTTCCCCTTAAAATTTCCAATCCTGCAAGGTTGGCTCATCTGGTTTAGGAAGTGAGCTTGCCAAAAGTTCTGGTGTTATCTTTTCTGGTGGTCTAGATTTCTCAACTCTTATGGCTTTAAACTTCTTGAAATATATTTGTACAGCAATTTCTTTTGGAGTGGGATAGATTGTGTTCCTTTCATTCTTGTGTTTGTATGTTACTGGATTTTTTCCATTGATGTTGTTACAACACCGTACATTTCAAGTGACAGTTTTGGCTTTTCCTTTATTTTACCTTTTTTGAGTGATAATCCTAACTTTGAGAAACACTTGCATGTGCAGAGTTCTTGCTGCTGCTGCTAAAAGAGCAGGACATGAGGATGAAGGTAAGCTTGCCTGGTTTACATACTTCCACCTTATTGTCTCAACCTTTTGGCTGCTTTGCAGTCAAATTGTTTTGTTTTGCTCTCTTTTCTATTTTTAGGTTCTAACAAATTATTTTATTTTGCTTCCTTTTCTATTTTTAGGTTCTAATGCTACAGCTGAGAATGGAGTGGATAATAAAAAGGACCTCTTAATGCCAAATCTATGCGTTATATGTCTGGAGCAGGAATACAACTCAGTTTTTGTCCCGTAAGACCCTTTAGTGAAAGCTTTTAGTTCACTTCATGTTCGAATGTTCAGATTTTTGGGACATTGCTATGCTGCAAAATTGCGAAAATTTTAGGAACTGTATGCCAATCCCAACTTGTTTGGTGTTGTATGACTAACCAAGCACAATAGAAGTAGAGTTCATATAAGCAATACCAACTAATTCAAGATAAAACTACTGTTTTAAAATTAACTAATTCAGATATAACTAGTTTACAACAAAGATCTTAAATGGCAAATTGTGTAGTATAGGAACGGAGTGTCTAAATAGAGTGAAGTGGATATGGAGAACTCATGCAGCTTCTCAACTTATTTTGGATTGAGGGATATTTGAGTTCATTTGATTTGATTAATGATGGATCAGCTTCCTTTTTTGTCCATGTTTAGGCTGCTGAATGAGATTCTGAAAAAATAAGCATCTCCCAGACTTGTCGTCAGATTTTCCTATTTTTCAATTCTGTTCAAGTGTTTTTCTGTTGGGTCGATCCAAGGGTCTTTCCTATACAGTGTTCTCTACCTTCACAAGGTAGGGGTAAGGTCTGTACATAACACCCTCCCAGACTCGACTTGTGGGATTACACTGGGTATGCTGTTGTTTAACATTGTAGTAGTATTGCCCATAAGAGCGGGCTGGCAACACTCTGTTACTTGGAACAGGAGATAGGATACTGAAGGTGTAGTGTCCTCACCGTCTAATATATTTACATTATTGGTGGATGTTAATTTGACATCCCAGCGCTTTATGTTTGGTTTTTGTGTATACGTATTGTGCTTAAAATTTTGATACATTTGGTGCACTTACCTGTTTGTTTGTTTCGCAGGTGTGGTCATATGTGCTGTTGCATGACGTGCTCTTCACACTTGACAAACTGCCCACTTTGTAGGAGACGGATCGAGCAGGTTGTGAAAACTTTTCGCCATTAGGTAACAGCAGAGATGGACGAGCAGAAAGCTGATTCTCTCGCTGCCTTGTTGAAATCGTCTGATAAAATGTCATTTTCTCACTCATAAAATCAAATTTCAAAGGTTTATACAAGTGTTGTCCTTCTTAGGAACTTGGATATTAACTTGTAGATAGTATTGAGAGCTGGATTTTGTCATAAATTGAAGACATTATGATGTATAGCCTCCATCTCAACGGTTAAACTTGTGCTCTTTTTGTTTCACTCACATACTCGGTCGGGCTAGTATCATTTTATTATATGGAGATAAAATTTTCAAAATCTGATCAAATGCTAGCGTCTACATTTTCTAAGAAAGCTGGAGGAAGTTATTTGGAAAGAATAAAAAATTCTTAAATTTTAATCTAAAGAACGTAATGTTATCATAGATTTTAGGTTAATTCTGTTACAACAGAAGTCTTTTTTTTGGTTAAGAAAGCGGATTTTAGATCAAACACACAACTTTTGAACCAACTCATGAGGTGAGGTGATGAATTATTAAAAGGCTGTGTAAAGAAATTATAACTCATTCCTCCAATTAACAAGCAAATATATTTCTATAGGCTTAAGGTTGTATATATGGAGCATGGACACAAGTTTATTACAGGATTAAACAAAAAATAATGGTAGAATCTAAGTTGTGCAAATGAAGAGTGAGCTTAATTCAATCTAACACCATTAGTTCGAAGCGTTCTCATGAAAATGTTTTTTTTTTTCTTTCGACGCCTTAGACTAATGTCTATAATCAACTGTTTAAATTATTCTCATTCTATATCAATATTGCTGGTGGGGTAAAACTTCATATATATACTACTGCTAATACTTTTTTCTAATTTTAAGACCGCATGTTGTATTCATTATACTTTTTCTAATATGAAGACCGCATATTTGTATTCGTTAGTAGGTAACAATCCAACAAAACAATGCGGTAATGATACTATCTTTTTTTTTTAATTATTAGATAGAAAAGAAAAAGAAAAACGATAATGATAGAAATTTATGCTTAAATAGTTAACTAATTAATCCAGCCAAACAAATTCTGGAATGACGGCTGTACTTTATTATAGTACTACTTAATTACTCCTACTATTCTTTAACCTTATGATTCGACATTTGATGTCTTCCATTTTTCTTCTTCTTGCCCAACGCAATATATACCTTGTTCGCCTTCTACTTATAAGCCGTTGATTTTGAATACAAATAATGGACCTATATTTATATAGCTGGAAATTAATGATATCCACTTTTACTATTTTCTAAATTATTATGTATTTATTGAGTTCGATTAATTTAGATTCGTTGATCTATTTAAAATAAAGTTTTCTATCAAATTTTTTTTTCTCAATTCTCCTTAGAGCTTGAACACAAATCTCTAACCAAGATATATGATAATGATGTCTCTCGTCTATTTAACTTCAATTATTTTAAATTTACAGCGAGTAAGGTTTATTTAAGGAAATCATTTTTTCTATGAAATTTCTCAATTCTCAAAGCTTGGATTGAAAATCTTAGAAAATAATATTGTCTCTCCTACTTTCAACACGCAAAATGTGATTCTTACAACCAACAATCTGCTGTTTTTTTTTTTTTCCTACTAATTGTATGTCCAAGTCTTGCTATACTTTTGAGACTTTGAAACGTATAGAAACACCCTCCCCTTTCGAATCTGATGCCATCACCTTTATGTTTTTAGTTACTTGTGCACTATTGTTTTGCAGAGAATTTCATTTTATATGCATAGTAATATTTCTTGATAAATACGTATATATTGACACCGCTAAAAAATAAAATATAAAGTAACTAACAAAAATAAAATTGTGATAAGAAATTGACACCATTTGTACAATAAAAACCGTAGGACACGATTTAGTGAGTTTGGGCCCTATCGATGTAGAAGCTTGTATATAGGTTTGTGAGAATTCAAATCATTTTTAGCCGTTATTATTAACTTGAGATTGCGTTAAGAACATCAAATAATGTCAAAATGTGTTTTTAGCTAATTAATAATGAGTGCATTTTTGCAAAAAAGGCAAAGTATGGGAAAGTCGTGAGGAATATGATCCCGATTGAGAATCATACTAAGCATGGCCCACGAGGAATATGTTGTGGAAATTTCAGCTTAATTTATCCTTTTCACATCATATATAGACTGACTACTCCTAGCTAATGATTAGGGATTAATTAGTACTATTATATAAATATCCTTAATCCCTGCCTCTTGTTTACAACGAAGAAAAACATCCTTTGTTCTTTTTCTCATAGAAAAAACAAACTAGCTAGCTAGTTGTGAAATGGCCAAATCAGAAACCCAGTCCCAAGGAACATTTCGACAGTTTTTCAGGGCCTTTAAACGCCGAGTTTCTCCGGCCCGCCCACTGGCAACAGAGAGCCCGATTTCTGGTAATGTATCAACCGCAGCGCCTTCAAACAAGATACCTATATATTATAATCACAGCAACAATGCTCAAAGGCCCGAGCCCATGAAGCCCGGCCCGAAAAACATTCATCAACAAAATAAGCCAGGCGTCAAATTTCAAGATGAAAAGTTTACTAATTTTATAGATGAGACGAAGAAGAAGATGAAGGCAAATTCAAGTTTTGTTGCTGACGAAAATGGGCCAACTAAACGGGCCACCACAAGAAGGGACAGTTTCAATGATAGAGTTTCTCACTTTATCAATCGGGCCAAACTCAAAATACGAACTACTACCATTGTTGATCATGCTGATGGAACCCGTTAAAAAAATTAATTTATAATCGGTGAAAGTGCTCTAAATTAAATATTGGTTGGATAAGAAGAGTGGAGGAGAAAGGAGATGAACTTTTACGGTTGCGTGTATTATTAAATTTTATATATGATGATGAGTTGTATGCTTTATTTTATTCTGCATAAATATTTTAATGTCCTAAAAGTTATGCTTATGTTGACATTGACACTAGATATTCTTCAAGTTAATGGATAATGCCAAAAAACAAATGAACTTTTTTGCAAATTGTGGTTTTGATTTATGTGAAAGTGAATATCAATGAATTCCATCATTGTAATTGCTCACATATTGTTTTCAGTATTATTACTATTATTGTAAGAAACATGAATCGTTTATTAGGGAAATTAAAGATGATAAGTAAATTTGTATAAACAATCTTTGTATTGTACGTAACTTAAACCCATTAAAATTTTGGTCTTTTTCCAGCATATATCAAGTTTCAATATATACATGACATTAAATAAGAGAGAGAAATGGAACTTATAATAATGTATATGCATACATACATATTTTTATTACATATAATAATAAGAATCATAAAATAGAGAGGAAGATTTTATAATAATTTCATGAAAGTATAATTTTTATATTCATAATGTTAATTGTTAGTGAACTGAAACTAAAATTTACAATAAGATATAACATTATTCAAGCCATAGGTAAAATCCAATTAGGTAAAGTAAAATGAAATAGCAATATTTTCTTCTTGTCTTATGATTTACTATCAAGTTAAAGGGGGGTCGAGGGAGACCAAGAGAGTGGATTGTTGATTTATTTCTGTCAAGTATAGTTGAGAATTTAGTTTTTAAATATGAGTCCGGAGTCTAAAGAGCAAAAAAAAAATTGACAAAAATTTCAAAATGGCACATCAAATTTTTTTCTAACCAAAAGGGCAAAATCGCTACAGACGTAGCGATTTTGTTTGACGCCGTTAACAGATCAAAATCGCTGTCCGTGCAGCGTTTTTGCGATTTTTTTTAAAAAATAAAAATAAATCACTGCTATGGCAGCGTTTTTATAAGAAAAAATTTATTTTCTTTTTTCGGATGCAGCGATTTTCGTTAATGTTTTTTCTTTTTAAATCATTGTTGTTGCAGCGTTATTATAAATTTTGTGGATTTATTTTTTTTTCTAGAAATCTATGATTTTGGTGGAACTATTTTTTTAAAAAAAAAACTAGCGATTTTGGTAGAATTTTTTTTAAAAAAAATTTCTATCAACTAGTCAACATCGATTTTTATTTTTTTTAAGAAAATTGCTGTCCGTAGAGTGTTTTTGCGATTTTTTTTTTTTAAAAAAAATTAAAATTATTGCTATGACAGCATTTTTATAAAAATAATTTTATTTTACTTTTTTGGAAATCAAGATTCTCCTCTTTATTTTCAACATTTACAGGAAGTTTCTTTTTCTTTAAGTTATGTCAAATCAACACTTTTTAAGTTAGGTCAAATCAATTATATAATTATAATATATGTGTAGTGTACTTATAAAATATTAAATTATCTTTTTACTTTTTAACTCACTTGAAAAATTAGTTTAATCAATATATTTAAAATGCAACAAGACAGATTAAATTCATGTCAACAAGTATTTAAAAATGATATATTATAATATTAAAAAAAAATCAAAAGAAAAAAATATTCTACCAAGGCAGCGATTTTTTTTTTAAAAAAAATAGTTCTACCAAAATCACTGCCAAGGCAGCAATTTCTAAAAAAAAAATAAAAAAATTCCACAAAATTTATAATTACGCTGCAACAGCAGCGATTTTCTGAAAAAAAAGAACTTGGACAAAATCTCTGACAGGGCAGCGATTTTGATCTGTTAAAGGCGTCAAACGTCAGTAGCGATTTTGCCCTTTTGGTTAGAAAAAATTTGATGTGCCCTTTTGGAATTTTTGTCAAATTTTTTTTGCTCTTTAGGCTCCGGACTCTTTTAAATATCCAGCTTTATTCATCCAATTTATATAAATAGAGTCAATCTTTACTTTCCATTTCTCAATCACAAGTATAATTTATAAATCAATTAATAAAAAGATAAAAGAAGCTTTTACTAAGAAGGTGTTATGTACTCTGAATTTTTTTGGCCCAGTTGTAGAATTTGATCAGCTGGAGCTGATTAGGTAGAAACATAAAGACCCAAATGAACTTCATTTCCATTACCATTTAAAGCATGATCATATTTATTTGGTTTAGCAGTTATGTAAAAACTAGGTCTTCTTTTCAACATTATTTTCTGTGACCAAATTTGTTTCTCTCTTTGTTTTATGGGTGGAATTCTGGAGAAGCCCATTGTTTTTGGGTCCAACAACTTCTTCTTTTTTTTCACTTTCAGACACTCATTTCTTAAAAATAAGAACCCATTACTCCTTTTTTGGAAAAACTTCAAAATATGACAAACATCCATATATATTCAA